TGCTCCCCCCAGTCCCGGCCCGGTGCCCCCCGCCCCTGCCCGGTGCCACCTCTCGTCCCGGCCCCGTCCTCTCTCTGTTCCAGCCCGGGCCGGTCCCGGTGCTGCCCCTGTCCCGTCCCGCTGCTTCCCGGTCCCACGCTGGTGGTCCTCCACCTGCCTCCCGGTTCCATCCCGCTGCTCCCCCGGTCCCGTCCCGCTGATCCCCTGTATCCCCCCCGTCCCACCCCATCCCGATGCTGCCCCTGTCCCATCCCAGTGCTCGCCGTGCCCACCCTGGTGTTTCTCCAGTCCCACCCCAGTGACTCCCCGTGTCCCCCGGACGATCCCGTCCCAGTCCTTCCCCCATGCCCAGCCTGGTGTTTACCCAGTCCTGTCCCTGTGCTCCCCCATGCATCCCTGCACCCATCCCAATGCTCCCCCCATGTGCCCCCAGTTCCCATCCTGGTGCTCCCCACCATCCCATCCCAGTGCTCCGCCATGCCCGGTGCCGGCTTGGCTCCGAATCCCTGAATCCCTTGGGACCAGCATGGGGTCGGCGTGTCCTGGCTGGATCCTGGAGCGGAGCTGGGAAGCTTTTACCACCTGTTGATGGGACACTGCTCACGGATGCCTGAATACCTGTGTGTCACCGTCCTTGGCAGGGATGGGGGATGCCGGGAGCGGGGGGGACAGGGGACGACCAGTACCTATTCAGCAGGTGCGTGAGTGTCCCCGTGTTAGTTCCTACGTGTGTGGGAAGCGGGCAAAGCAGGCGGCTGCCTGCTCAGGGCTGACAGGAGATAACCGCAGGTAGGGCTGAACATCAGCCGGGCTTGGCGATACCCGCCCCGGCAGAGTGCGCCAGCCCAGGGGTTTCGGGGGAGCCTTCCCCTCCGCCAGGAGCAGTTTGGGTTTGGCCCTTTGGCAGGGCTGGTGATAGCGCTCGGCAAAACCTGCCAAACCTGTGCTAGCAGGAGGAAATCAAGGGTGGCCGACCTGTTTTGGGGCTGGGGTGACCATCAGACCAGGCAATTCCCTGGGCGGTTGCTCTCCTGCAGGTTGGGCTTTCCCAGGGGAGTGAGGGGGGTGTTACGGCCAAATAATCCGGTGTTTGGGATGCTTTCCTGGGTTATCTCCAGCTGCTCGGGAAAGGATGCAGCCTTAGATAGCAGAGCCAGGCTCTCCGTGCATCAAAGAGATGAGGTTGCTTTGTGCCCACAGCTCCTGGGTGCTGAGATCTGGGGGTTGGGGGGGGGGGGGGGCGGGGGGGTGCCCACCCCCCCCCCGAGCTGGCGGTGCCACCGGGGCAGTCCTCGCCAAGGGGCTGCCAGCCCAGAGGATGCCGAAGCTCTGCATCTGGTTGCAATAAGGGTGGGGATCTCGTCTTGGTGGGGATCTTTCCATGCCGAGCTGCGAACTCGGTCACCGGGGGTGAAGTCAGCCTCCCGCCCTGCGCTGCTGTGTGCCCGCACCGCCCGCAGCTGGTTCCCAGGGGGGTGCAGCTGCCCCGTGGCTCATCCTCTGGCTCCCACTGGGCAGCTCCCACCCCGCTGCCTGGGCTGGACGGGGTGGTGGGATCTGTCCCCTCCCTGCTGGGCTCTTTCGGCTGGGGAGGGGATGCTCACTGGTGGGGAAGCCCCAGTGGAGGCTCAGCCCTGGCCTCGTTGCAGCTCTGTTACCCAAAGCACGTCGTTAGCGCGCCAGTGGCTATATATAGCCAGGAGGGACACGTGTGCTGAGACCATCTCTGCTGTGGGATGGGGGGGACACCGGAGGCTTGGCGGGGCAGCCCCCCCCCAGCTGCTGCCAGGGTGCCGAAGGGCCGGATGGGGAAACGGGTACTGGGGGACGAGGCTGCCTGGGCTCGGCTGCCCAAACTTCCCCCTTTCCGGGAGGCCTCGACGTGGCCGAGCTGCAAAGTGCACCTACTCGGGCTGGAAACATGCCCTGCCTCGGTGTGCCACCCCCGCGGGAGCCACCCAGCACCCTACCACATCAGGGAGGACCTGTCCCCGCTCCCCTGGGTGCCACCGCAGGGGGGTGAATCCCTGGGGAGGGCCGGGCTGGGAGCAGGGCCGTGCTGAGTCAGTGCTGGTATGCCAGCAATCCGGTTACCGCTGCCATGACGTGCCGGTGCTGAGCGGGCCCTTGGCTTCGTCCCGTGCCACGGCGAGCACGGTTGCCCCCTTCCCAGCTCGGTTCGTGCCAGGCATCCCATGCCCCGGTGCAGCAGCGAGTGATGTTGCAATGGGGATTTAGAACTTGCACACTGGAAGCAACTGGGCTTTGGTGGGTGCTGAATCGCAGTGCCGCTGTCTCCTCGCTCCCACGGCCAGTGCATTTTTCAGCGGCCCTGAAACCCAGGCTCTTCAAAAAGGGCAGTGCAGCGAGCCAGACCTCCCTGGGGATCCCTCCCTGCATCCTCCCCGGGCAAAGGGGCTGCTGGCTGCCTGCAGGCAGGGCTGTGCCCCCCGAAACCCGCCCCGCTAAGGTTGTGGTGGATGTGCGGGGGGGGTGGGGGGTTGGTGGGGGGGGGGGGCAGGCGGGGACCGACTTTCCCTTCTCCTCGCCCCTGGGGAAAAGCTGATGCTGCCAGGGAAGGGGGGCCGTGGGCGCAGCTGCGGAGCCCTCTGCCAGTCCCCTCCCTGCGGCAAGGGCCGGGAGAGC